AAAAATCATTCAGACATCATTCATTGACTTTGTAAAAAGAAGATTGAAACCTCTTTTCATAGGTGTGCTCTGTCTTTCACAAGCACGCGCCTAGACAGCCATATAGGAACACATACATCACACACAAATCACTTGTGTTCACATGTCAGACAGAATATGCACATTGTTATGGTTTATATTTAGATATTCTCCCTAAAGCTTCATGCACTGAAAGGTGGGGCTTTGGGGAAGTGACTGGATCACAGGGGTGTGATACTTATCAGTGGATTGGCCCAATGATGAGTTTATAGCTAAATGTGATTTTGGGACTTGAAGCCTTGTGGGAGGGGGTGAGTCACTGGGGCATGATCTACAGAGAATATATCTCCTTCCCTTCATCTGTCTCTGCTTCTTTCTGCCTCTCCTCTTCCATGCCCCTCTACCATGTTGCCTTACCTTGGAGTAAGTTGACTGTGGACTGAAACCTCTATAAACCAGGAACCAAAATGACCTTTGCTTCTTTAAATTATGTGTGTCACAACAGCCAGAAAAGAGCTAAGACAGATTTTGGTGTCAGAGAAGTTAGGTTGGTGCTGTGACACTACCTCACCATGTGGTTCAGAAGCCTTTGGAACTGGCTTGCAGGAGAAGTCTGGAAAGGTTTGGAAATGCCAGCAGGAGAAGCAGCCCTAAAATGCCTTAAGCCATGCTGGATGATAGACTCTTGTCAGAGCTGAGAAGACCAGAACACTGATAGAAATGCAACTGGTAAAGACCAGGCTCAGGGGGTTTCAGATGGGAACCAGGAGTCCATTGGCTGTTGTACTCTAGGCCATGTGTTTTATTCTTGGGCAGAAAATTTGATTACATTTTGCTCCTGTCCCAAGACTTTGAAGGAGACTGAGGTTAAGGGCAGTGGAGTAATTAATCTGGTAGAGGAAATGTCAAGGGAATCAAACATTCAGTCTATGGAGAGTACTTTTGGAGGGCTTTTAGTCAGCTCTACTTTGAGAATCAAGAGGAAATGGCTCAGCTGAATGACTTAAATGTTTTGAGTTTGGCCAGAAAGGAAGCTCTGGTAAAATTGAGGCCTGCGGGGGCCGGGAATTTAGCTCAGTGGTGTTGCCACCTGCCTTGCAAGTGCAAGGTCCTGAGTTTGATCCCTAGTACCAAAAAACAACAACAACAAAAAAATTGAGACTTGCAGTGATAGAGCAGAAGAGAGCTTGGTTGCTGAAAAAATTAGCATTAAGAAGAAGCCAAGCCCTTTAACACATCACAATAGAAAGGATGGCTTGAGGGTATCACAGGAACCAGCAGGACTCTGACACCAAAATCTCTATTAGGATTAACTAGAGGAACAGATTTAAATATACATACATAAAAATATAAATGTATATATGATTTACAATAAGCTTACAGTGGTCAGGAGTGGAAGAACACAAAGGCCATCTATACATGAGAGAGCTAGAGGATCTAACCAAAGGTCAAAGGCTTGGAGCTTACTGCAGAGTCCCATCAGAGTCCATATTGGGAACCATAGTGTATGTTGGAAGACTGAAGAGTCTGCACTGGAAGCTGGAGGTAGACTTCCAATGATGGATTTCCTCTGAAGAAGCAAAAAAAGGAGCCTTCCTTTTTCATTTCCTTTCTATTCTATCCGGGCTATAAGCCTGTCAGTTGGTGCCACACAAATCCAGGGTGGGTCTTCCCTCTTCAGTAATGCAGTTATCCAGACACACCCAGAACTATGCTAAACAAATCCACTAGGCATTTCTTATTCAAGTTGACAGCACAATTAATTATCATACACATACATGTACATGTAACATATGCATAGCATAAATGGTGTCTTAGTTATTTTTTTTATTGTTGGAACAAAATACCTGACACCCAGAAGATAAAGGAGGAAAGGTTTATTTTTTTCTCATAATTTGTAGAGGTTTCAGGCCATAGTCAGCTTGCTGCAAGGCAGGGTGACATGGCAGAGAGGTATTGCAGAGGAGAAACAGTCCATGTCATGGCAAGCAGGAAGCAGAGAGCCTGCCTTCCATCTTTCCCTTTATATTTCATTATTTCATCCAGGCCATAAGCCTATTGGTGCCACCCAAACCCATCAAGAATGGCATACAGCATCCTAGGGCTGCATCTTCAGCCAGCTTTCCAAACCTTTCTAAACTCCTCCTGTGTAGTTTTTGGTGTCAGTTTTTGAGACCTGTGGAGAGAGGGTGAGGCACAGAGACAAGACTAACTCCAGGGAGGATTTAGGAGAATCACTTCTGCTTTTTTGTGTTGTGTTACAGGATATATAGCATGGATCTAATTTGCATGGGGGAGGAGATTGTCAGAGGAGATATGGGTGGCTTACAGAGATTGGCTGAGCCTGGAGAGTCATCAGTCGTTAGGGAACTAGAGGGGTGCAATGAGTGTGGCAAGGAGGCTCTCTACACACCGGATCAGGCAACTTGCATGCCTTTTTGGTGTCCTATAGTTTGCTACTGGATGTTGGTGTGGCACAGCTAGACTTCTGGAGCGCCCATATTCCTGTAGGCCAGTTCTGAAGGCTTCTAAACCACATGGCCAGGGAATGTCACAGCAACCTATTTGTTGGTGCCACCCACACCCAGGGTAGGAATTCTGTCTTTAGTAAATCAATTCAGCCACACCAAGAACAATGATAATCCAATCAATGGACTGATCTACTTATACACCCATGATCCAGTGTCACACACACATGATACATTTACTCCCAAAAGCCCTACCTGGGTGTGCATGAGGCTTTGGGAGACATTTTAGATATAAACCGTAACACATGGACACACACACACACACACACACACACACACTCACACACAGACACACAGCTTCTCATCTGTCTAACCTTTTGTTTTCTTTGGAGTTTATGGATGTCTTTGTGTGTTTAGTGTTTTATGCCCTTCTCTGGGACTTAAGCCAAATTCTTCCTCCAGTTCCATCAGTCTCATGTTTCTTCATTGTCAATGGTCTGTCTTCCATCTTCTTAAGAAGTCTTTCTAGAACCTTCTGCAGAGCCTGGTTTGCAGGTTGCCCATGTTGTGTGGGTGCATTGTTTGCCCTGGTTCCCCTTTGCCTTCTTCTTGTTTCAGGCAGTCTGAGCTGAACTTGTTCCTTAGATAGCTGCTAGTTTTGATGGAATATATCCTCAAGTCTCTGTGGAGTTCACAGGCCCTTTATATTTGGTCTTGCTTCTTATGGGCAGTATGGCAAGATTCAGGCATTGGAGCCACACTGTCTGGATCTGAAAATTTCCCCTGCTGGTTAACACCTGTGTGACTTTGAGCAAGTTATCCTACCTGTCTGCCTCCATTTTTGCACTATGTCGGAACTCGGCCCACGTCATAGAGCCATGGATGAGCATGTGACGGCAGTAGAGAAACAGATGAACATTGGCACGTGAAATGTGTATGAGTGCTGGGTATTACCTGTCACCTTCCCCAGCTTTCAGTTCTGGAGAATTTTTCTCTCCTCCCATCCTGGCTGGCCCCATGTCTAGGTTTCCTCAGTGAGACTCTGCTTTGATTAGCTCCTTTCTCCCTGGGCTGGAACTTATCTCTCCTGACCTGCATTCAGATCCTTCCCTGACATCCTGTCCTTGTAGATGTCCCTTCCTCCTCTTTCCTACCGAGGCAGTCTCCTGTTCCCCTCACCCAGGAAGCATAGAGAAGTAGAGGGAGGCCAACTGGTGACAGTGGGAAAATTCCTAAGATTCGAGATTTGAGACCCACAGAACATCACATCCCTAAGTTCCTTTCAGGGATCCCTAAGGTCTTCCTTCTGCAAGTGCATCCCCCAAGGAGTGGATTCTTCATATGTCACAACCAAAATAAAGTATGGATACAACTTATGCCAGAAGCAGAAGCACTTCTTGGCTGAGGCTGCCTGGGGGCTTAAGCAGGTGTGGGTCAGTTCCTCTGTTCTCACTGAGGTGTCTTGTTTTGGTGGGCCAATGGACAAGCATGTACAAAAGTGAAGCATAGGCTGGGGTTATGCAGACATCACCTGGCCCCTAGAACTTAGACCTATTTCTTATCCCCTGTGTTCTCAGACCCAGTGTCTTGCAGTGGGTTTTTGTGCAGGTGGCTTGAGTGATGTGGTAGAGTCTTCAGGCACATATGGCAGCTCTGTGATGATGACATCAGGGTATAGGAAAATGGCCAGGCACCCCATAGATGTTCTCCAGTAGGGCCAGGGAACCTGTGGGTACTGCTTCACTTTGTCCAGGATGGGGTCCCCGGAGCTGTGTTTCACAAGAGGAGCAATTTAGGGTAGACAGGCCACTGATCCATCCACATCAAGGATGGTGAGCGTAAGTTCAGGAATTGTGTACTGAGTACTCACTGTACATCAGTTCTGCTGTGAGCACTGAATGTGCATCCACTTATTACTCATAACCTAAGAGGTAGGTCATTTATTACCTTCCGTTTGCAGATGAGGAAACAGATCTGGAAAAATCCAGTAGATAATGACAAGCTGCATAATAAATGGCTGGGGCAGAATCCCTGTGAGCAGTCAGATCCCAGCTCTGGCCCACGTGAGGGGTGGCTTAGGAAGAGAGTGCTAGAGGCAGAGATTTGGCAGGCCAGGTGAACTTCCAGGCCATGTAGTAGATACATGTGAGAGAGGCAGTGGGGACCCAGTAATCTCAGAAGCTAGGTGGGGGACCTGGTGGGGTGGGAGAATAAGGGGAACGGGGCTCCAAAGGGTCTTTAAGGTGGCCAGAGGCTTGCTTTCTCGAGGGTCTCTTGGGTGGACACGCCTTTCTCAGGGCCATATTGGAACAAGTGGAATACAGGGCTATCTGGAAAGACTTGGTGGGGGCCACTGTGTTGTGGCTGGTGAGAAGCCTAGGGTAGCTCTGGAAATTGGCACAGTGGAGCTAGTCACGTGGGACTGGGGTGGGCACAGGGTCCTTTGCACCTTAAATCTAAGCTTTATCAATCTTTTTTCTTCCTACTCCTGGGCTTTCCTGTTTTCTTCCAGCTCTGCAAGGAGGCTACCTGCCCTGTTCACCATAAGAAAATGCCTTATGGATCTATCACCAGTGGAGGTAACCTGAAGAGCTATAGCCTTTTTTGAGGACCCTTAAGACAAGGCTTTCAACCTGTAGGTAATGTCACCTGAGGGCAGGGGGTAGGGTGTGACAGTGGCGGGGGTCTTCTCTGTATCATGTACCTCTGAGAAGTGTTATCTATGATCAGTGACCACTGTGACTACTGAGCCCTGGGCTGGGGGAAATTTGAACCGCAAGAGAGAAAGGTATTTGTTGGGGTCTGACCTGTGCTGAGGCAGACTGAGGTTCAGTATTCCTGCAGGGAGTAGATCTGGTGCTCAGAGTACCAAGTTGGAGGCACTCAGAGGCTGAGTGGCTGAGTGATCACATCTGGCCTTTCTGACCATGCTGCAGAAGATGTGGCATTTTGCACAGCATACAGAAAAAATCGAAGCCTTCGGTATTATTGAATTGATGTCCAGGGCTGTATAGCTGGCATGAGGCAGAACTGGGGTCCACTTTTAGACATTTCTGAATACTAAGCCCCAGCCCTTTGTACTTCACTGAGCTCCATGTCCCTCCCAACAGACTGACCTCCTGTGGGCCTCTCAGCCATCCCTTCATCTGTGCAGTCAGCTTAGGCTAGGGGTGTGGCCTAGAAGGTGTTTGCATTCCAGACAGACCCAGGCAAGCCCATCATTAGCCCAGGCCCTGGCCACTGGTTCCTTTATCAGGCCCCATTCTCTGTGTCCCTTTAGGCTCCTTGAGCTGCTGTCTGGGAGTATCCTGAGCTCTCTACTTAATGCTCCCTGCCACAGGCCAGCCCTTGGGCTCAGCCCAGCAGCTCACCCCATACTCTGCCTATGTGTGGGGTATGTATCTACTGAGCTCAGAGCCTTTAGGATGGGCCTCACTGGAGGCTGCCCAAGCCCTTTCCCTTCAGGAATCTGGAAGGAGGTGGCTACCAGGAGACCTAAGTGGACAGGCAGCAGAACCAGCCTTAAATCACACCCTTTGCTTCTTCCAGGCATTCAACCAGGGTTCTAGGGCCTAGGGAGGGCACAGAATGAGGTGCTTTATCACTTTAGGTTCCAGGATGTGTTCTCAAGATATGCTGGAGGTACAAGACTGTGAGTATATGGTGTATGCATGCACACATTTGTGTGTAGTTCAGATGTGCAGAGATTCATAGACCACGGTTTTAGTATCCTTGATTGTGACACCCCTTTGTCACCTGCCTTTTCTCAACCTGTTTCCTTCCCGCCTTCCCCTCAGTGGTACGTTTATTGCTTCTTGCTTTCCTTCTTAGTTTTAGTTTCACATTGGTGACCCTGATAGTGTATTATTGAGTCTGGAATGTTTTTGAACTTCATTGAATGGAATTGTACTGTGGTTTGCTGCTTCTGTGTACTTTGTTCCTGAGAGTCTGTGGAGTGGCCCATAGCTGTCACACTTTTGTTTTTCCTGCTGCCCCACATTGGGCATGCACACCATGGCATTCTGCTTGCTCCATGACTGATGAACGTTGAAGTTTTTTCCTGTTTCACGCCTTTGCCTTCATCAGTCATGTTGCTGAGCCCCAGAGATGCTATCCAGAGTCTCTCAGGCATGGAGGAGAATCAAGGTCCTGGTCAGTGCTCCTTTGTTCTCTTCTTTTAAGCTTCTTCCGCACTCTCCTCCTCTTCTACCCCTTCTATGTTCTCCTCTTCTTCCACATTCTTTCTTTGCTCTTTTTCCTCCTCCACACATTTCCCCTATTCTTCTCCTTCTCTGGACTTGTCTTCCCACTCTGGACTCTTCCTTTGCCACACTCCACCCCCGGGCCCATGCCTGCTCTTCCTATCCCCTGCCATTGGTTGACAGCACCCAGTGATACCATTTGGTGACTTGTTAGCCAGGTGGGTGTGAAATGGTCTCCTCTGGCTTGACTTTCTATTGCTCTGTGATGATGGAGTCCATGATCATCTTTTCATGTTTATCAGGCGTATGGGTCTTCACTTCTCAGTAACTCTTTCTGTGTATCTTTCTCTGGGGTTTGCTTTGTGTTTAGTGATTTGCAAGATTTCCTTCTGTGTTCTAGAAATGAGATCCTTAGCTGTGCTGTGGACTTTCCGGTCCACCATGGACCTACTCTTCATCATGGTATCTGTTGGCCAAGCACAGGTTACCCATTATTCCCATCGTGGTACACATTTTTCTGTTTAGTTTAATAAAATCTATCAGAAGATGATATTGGTATTATCCTTTACTGTCCAATAAGGAGGGTATAACTTGTTTTTTATATGTAAATGTCTCATCACTTGGAATTAATTTTTGTTGGTGTGAGGTCGGGTAAGGTAGGGGGACTCTAATGTTATTTTTTTCCTGTTTCTCTACTTTAATAACAAATTGTCTAGACTGCTTAATCTGTCCTTTTTCTGCAGACCAATAGTGGCAGCTCTATGAGGGCAAGTTTCTGTAGCAGTTCTCTCCATCAGTTTTCTGCTCCTGTGTCAAAATTCATCTTGATTTCTACCAGTATATTGTAATTCTCAGTGTTTTTCAGGGGTAGGTTGTCCTTCTAATTTTTCTACAGAAATTTCTTGGGTATTTTTTGGCTCTTTGTTACTGAATATAAAGTTTGGAATCACTTTGTCAGACTGTTTGAGGTTTGATTGGAATTGCCTGGATTAATGTGGGGGACATTGATGTCATCATCCTGCTGAGTCTTCCAGTCCATGGACATGTCATGTCTTTGTATCTGCTGGGTCTTCTTTCATGTCTTTCACTAAGGTCTTATAATGTTCTTCATAAGGATCTTAGCATATCTTTTCTTAAACATGTTACAACAGAATAAAAACATACTTTTGCTGTTATTATCAGTGGTACCATTCTGAAAGTACATTTTTCCAAATATTCATTGCTGGTGTACACACACAGCTGGTTCTTTTTAAAGCAAAGTCCACAGATTTTATTTAGTTTTTAAATGTTTTATATTTTAACTTTTCACACATGGAAACTTTGAAACACACAGAAGTAGACATAACTGCACTGTGCCTCCCAGGGCCCTTCTTCTGTATTGTCTACTGTTGCCCACTCATGTCCAACTGAGTCTCATCTACACCTGCTGTTCCCCTTTTCGTGTCAGACACCAGCTCACCTGTTAATGTCTCAGGGTGTCTCTGAGGAGATGGACTCCCGTGGAAGTGACCACATCTCCATTGCCACGTTGCATTTCAGCCAAATGCTAGGTCCCTGTTCCGATGCCATATGCCTTCTAACTGCCATGGAGCACGCAACGCTGTTCAAGGCTGTTCATGTGAGGCCCAGGCAGAGGAGCTACTGAGCCCCTCTCATTCCCAGAGTCCCCTCTTGTCTTTTTTTCTTCTGCCCCTAAATTTATTTGTTGAGGAACCAGACTTTTCCTCTGGAATGTAATCAATTTTTGCCTACTGATTTACATCCAACCATTTTGCTAAACTCTATTTATTAATCTTCATGATTTACAGTCTTGGAATCTTTTGAGTTTTTTATATAGATGCTGTCATTTGTAAATAATGGCAGCTTTTTCCTCTTCCAATGGTTTCACCTTTTATATGATTTTTTACTCTCTTACTGAGCTGACTGGAACCTTGTTATACCGTTGGGTGGAAACGGTGACTGCAGATACTCTTTAACTTATGATGGTATCGCATCCTAATAAATCACTGTGAGTCAAGAGAGTGCACTTAGTGTGCCTCATCTACTGAGCATCAATCACACTTGGCCTGTACTACCTAGATGGGCTCAGGATCCTTGAGGTGGCCTAAAGTTGGGCCAAATCATATAGCACACAGTTTTGACCTGGAGTGCTGAGTATCACACATACTCACACAAATGTGGGTTTTCTAGAAATGGTGGGATGCAAAGCCACAAGGCAACATATCCAAGTGATTCCAGCAACCCAGAACAGTTGCGTCTCCATAGTTTTCTTCAGCTGATCATGTGGCTGATGGGGAGCTGGCCGGTAACACAAGGGAGGATCTTATGGCATATTGCCAGCCTGGGAAAAGATCAGGGTTCAAAATTTGAAGTCTGGTTTATATGAATGTATATCCCTCCCTCACTATCATAGCAAAAGTGTGTTGAACTATTGTACATTAGGGATCATGTGTGAATTCTCTGAATTTGTGGAAAAATAGGATTATGTTTCTTGAACATTTTGGGGATTTTCTCGTGCCTCTGTTTTTGTTTGTCAAAAGATTTTTGACTTCCAGTTAATTTTCCTACTTGTAAAGGTTTTCTCTTTCTTCTTGGGTCAATTCTGTTAAGTGGTGTTGTTCTGGAAATGTGTCTCACCTAGATTTCAATTTATTGAAATGAAATTGTACAGATAGCCTCTCCTTGCCCAGACTGAAGCCAGTCAGCACTGAGCAGCAGTCAGGAGTGCTGGTTCTGGGAGCAGCCTGCTTAGGTCCCCAGCCTGCCTACTGTGCTGCCACAGATAGGGTTGGGCCTGGGTCCACATCCTGGGCTGCATGAAATTTGAGTGAGGTGCTCCCCGTTAAGTGGGTAATCTGTTGTATGCAACTAGGGCTCCAGGAGGGTGAGGTTGCCAGTGTGGGAAACACACTACCTTGCACTCCGTATACAGTGTTTGTACCTTCTAGTTGAATTATCACACATTTTAAAAATGTAGTATTTAAAATTTTTTGTTTGGTTCCAAATATTTTCTAATTTCCATTATGATTCCTTCTTTAATCCAAGAGTTATCTGGGAATGGATTTCTTCATTTTCAAACATATGTATTTTTTCCTTAGTTGTCACTTAACAGTGATTTCTAACATAGTTGCATTTCTATCAGAAAAGGATCGATACTGTCTTGATTTTTTTAATTTTCCAGCCAAGTTTCATCAGAGATACTAAGTGGGATTCTTGCTCAGTTCTTTTTATACTTTCCTCTTCCCTGAGGTGGGCTGCAAAGGCTGTGTGGGGGCTGTCCATGGAGACCACAGGACTGGGAAAGACCTTACAGGCAGGACATTGAAGAAGGACAGATGCCCACAGGAGCAAGAGCAAGTACGTTAACAACTGGACACCAAGGTCCTGCATCATTCCCTAGATAGTTATGCAGTGCCTTAGGGCCCTCTCTTAATCTA